GGAGGAGTGAGACCTTTTATTGATGGCTTCACCTGGAGAGAAGCTGAAGTGAGTGGAAAATGTTTGCCGGCTTGGTAAGTTTCATAAAAACTCTGTGGGGAAAGAAGGAGTGGCAAAGTTGTAATCAGCGTGACGAACCTTAACCTGGCCGTTTCACTGAGTTTGTTACATTTAGAGTAAAAAAGGTAAAAGTGTACTTTGAGTCTGTAGGAGTGCAGAAAATTAGATTTTATTCTCTCCTGGTGCATCAACTATATCTTTATATTCTTTTTGGTTCATATTTTTCAACCCGTTCAGTTTTCTCTGTTTTCCATGATGTTTTATGAACTGTTATATCAAATTATTTGTCACGTAATTGCGAATAAGGTCTGGACTTACCAATAAACTTTTGGTTGTCTTCATTCTCCTCTGGCTCTGGGTCAAACTCTGGCTCCACCATGTAAGGCTGGATGAACAAGTGTTGTGTTGTTGACATGTTTTAAATAATTTGTAGATAAAAAGTTGCTACGCTTCTATATAGTCATAAAACCCCTCAATAAAGCTACAATGGAGGAGACCCTCTTACAACGCTCCTATGAAAGTTTGTAAAAAGCATGAAGCACTGATGTGAAGACATGAAGTGGGAGTGTSTGAAATGGTAAGGGGTTATTAAAGAGAAAGAGGCCAATTTCTAGGTGTTTGAATGGACTGATGCAAAGTCAAGTTTATTTTTGATACAGCATTTAGGGATGCACCAAATATCGACATCAATATCGGTATCGGTTTTGGCCGATATGTAAAACTGGGCCAATATTAACATCCGATACAGATTTCCCACTTTTTAGCTTTAGTTTCTGTTTTTGGAGGGGAGTTGGTTGGTTGAGCGGCATCTGTTTGATCATGATATTGATATTTATGCTGCGCAGCCAGAAATAACTGAAGTAGGGATCCATGTCAGAGGTCTGTACGTTTATTTACGGTATCAAAAAAAGACCCAAGTGTGTTTGTGTGTATTATGTATAATATAATTTGTGTGTTTGTGTAATATCGGTAAATATAGGATATCGGCCATAACAGCAGTAATTATATCGGAGATCGATATTGGCTGAAATTTTCATGTCTGTGCAGCCCTAATTTTCATAACCACTGAAAGTAACATTTGTTTGATTGTAGTATAGAAAATACAAAATACCTCACCCCCTTTAACTGATCATTGGCAGATACATATTTTTAAAGATATTTGCTTTTTTGTAATGTAAATATCTAAGTAACTGTTGGTGTAAGAAAATATCAGTACACTGAAATATCGCGATATTTCAGTTCCCGATTTTGTATTGGTTCTCTAAAGCACTGCATTGATTCTTAATTAAGACTTGAAAAGTATATTTTCTTGCGTTGTAATATTTTTATAATATGAAAATAAATATGAAACATATTAAGCATACTGAGTTTTTTTTAATCAGAATTTCTGGAGGAAAAAACGGCAATATAGCCTTGCTTACTTTACCGCAATATATCGTATTGTGACCTGTGTCATGATATGTATCATATCACCAAATTCTTGCCAATACACAGCTCTATAAGCACCAACAATTTTATTTAGCTAAATAAATGTAACATTGCATTTGAACAGTCTTCCCTGTAACATTAGCTTTCTATCAAATTTGGCTTAAATCAATGTTTTAAAGCTTAGAAGAGGACAGGACATGGGGATGAAAACAAACGCCTCTATTTTCCTCATTGAACCACTGTAAAAGGAGTCTCAAGGGCAGGAAATCTGACTTATTTTGCAGATCAAGGGAAATAAAGGGGAAGAAGACTGAAAAGAAGAGACCATGAGAGCAAAAGGACCACTCCTGCTCTCCCTCCTCCTCAATTAGTCAGCAGAGCAGACGGAGCGCCCAACCTCTCCAGTCTTCTTGTTCTTCCTTTATGACCACAACCACATATACCCTCTCCTGCCTCTTTTGTTCCAGCATTTACTTAGGCTTCTCGTTAACTCTCCATCTCATTTGCCGCACACGGTCACAATCGTCTGCTCATMGATCAGTCTGCTGCTCATGCCGCATTCATTCTGCACCTACTTGCTCAATTGCTTAGCTTTTGTGCTGCCTTTTYCCCTGAATTCTGACCTTCTGCGGATGTGGCCTGCCCATGAAATGCTCATTCAAACCCACCTTGTTTTACATTGTCACGGGATGGCCATGTGCTGTCAGGACCGGTGAAGAGCTTTGGCATTGTGCTGTAATTTGCTGTTTGCTTCACTGTTCCCGTCAATGTCGAAACATCTCCCGCTTTTAATGTGAAATTCACTCTCAAGTGCTTGTCAACAGCAGCTTTGAATTGTGTGTGTGTGTGTGTGTGTGTGTGTGTGTGTGTGTGTGTGTGTGTGTGTGTGTGTGTGT